ATTTTTAAGAGAGCCCATAATTTTTAATTTGGGCTTTTCACAAAATGGCTTTGCATACCACCTGTTAAGTGTAGATAATAAATGCAAGAAATTAATATCAGGAGATGGAGAGACACAGACAATTTATAGTGGTTCGATTAGCTCAACTTACGTCCATTCTTCAATGGCTCTGATGCCGGGTATTTTATTAACTCAAGGGTGTGGGGAACAGAGAGTACAAGCTTTGAGGGGGAACAGAGAGTCGTGGTCAAGTAAAGTGCGATGCCCCCCAAATGTTGGTGGGACGCGCAATTTATAGTGGTCCTCTAACATATTGGGGCTACTTTACAGCAACTAAGCAACTACTCTGGTGGAGCTCACGACTTCTTCTCAATGGGCGAGGAGGTTGAGGAGCTATCCTTGAGATGCGGTCAAAGATGAGGTGAGGGTGGACTTTTTCCTCTGTGGTGCAGGTAGGGCTTCCATGTTCTCCCTCTTGATGACGTAGCTAAGCAGAGAGTTTGACTGGTCTCGAACTATGTTGGGCTTGGTGGATCTTTCATGAGATTGGGCTCCTCAATTGGGATTGGACTTCTCACATAAATTGGGCTATTTGGGCTTGACCCATCATTTGCCCCCCCCAATGCCCCGTGTCCAAGGAGACTTAGAGAAGGGTGCATTAACTTACATCTTGAATTTCATATGGTGGAGACTTCCTCTGCTAAATGACTCTTTCTTTGCATGATGTATTTTTGCTTTGGTGCACATCTCAAATCTTTCCCACTTTTTCTTTTTCTAGGATTTTTAAGAGAGCCCATAATTTTAATTTGGGTTTTTCCCTCTTGAAAAACCCTAGGCTATAAATATATCATTTTTCTTCATTCTACCCACTCTTTCCAACTTATTCATGAGTGTTTTTTTTTTAAATCCTTGGAGACCCAAAGCTTGAGACTTTTGCGTTAGAGCATCAATGAAGAGAAAAACCAACATTGCTGTTGAAGAGGAGGTAAGTAGCGGCATGGAAGTGTCTCGGGCACCCATTGCCACCGTTATTCATGCACCCAATGGGCTGTCCGAGCTTGAGATGCCAAAAATAAGGGAACCCATAGTTCTTGTTGGTGATTCAAGGCCTCAGGCAGCGGAGCTACCGCCTTTGGGCACCGTGTTGCACGTGGGGCAGTTGGGCGCACTAGTCCATCGGGCACTGCAGTGGTGGGTTCCATGGAGGCAGGCATTGAACAGGGCACCACTTTAGGCATTAGTTTGGGAAGTTTAGAGGTTGGTCTGGACCATTTGGGTGCTGGAGGTGCTTTCCTGGACAGCTTGGGCTTGCAGATAGGCGAGCTAGGCAGCCTAGGCGCGCAAGCAAAGAGGCCGGACAACTTGGGCACTAAGGCAAGGAGGCAAGACAACTTGGGCGCGCAAAGAGGCAGGCTGGGCAGCTTGGGCGCAAGAACTGGAGGTGCAGCCTGGGCGCCTGCAGGGGTTACCTGGGCGCGAGCCTAAGCATCAGGAACTGGACATGCAGCCTGGGATGCCTGGGCATCAGGTGATGGAGGTGCAGCCTGGGATACCTGGGCATCAGGAGCTGAAGGTGCAGCCTGGGATGTCTGGGCATCAAGAGATGGAGGTGCAGCCTAGGATGCCTGTGCATCAGGAGATGGAGGTGCAGCCTAGAATGCCTGGGCATCAGGAGCTGGAGGTGCAGCCTGAGATGCCTAGGTATCAAGAGCTGGAGGTGCAGCTTGGGATGTCTGGGCATCAGGAGTAGGAGGTGCAACCTGGAATGCCTGGGCATCAGGGCTTGGAGGTGCAGCCTGGGATGGCTAGGCATTAGGAGATGGAGGTGCAATCGGGACTGCCTGGGCACAGGGGCAAATCTGGGTGCCACTTCAGGCATTGATCTGGGCACCTTTGGAGCTGTTTTGTGTAATTTTGGAGGGCCAGGCAGCGTTGGGCAAGCAAAGGTGGTCAGACACCTCTCTAAGTGCTAGGTTGCCTCGTTTGGGCGAGCATAGAGTGTCAGGCACCCCTCCAGGTGCTAGGCTTCCTCGTTTGGGCGAGCACATAGGATCAGACACCTCTTCAGGTGTTGGACTGTCCCGTTTGGGCGAGCAAAGGTGGTCAGGCACCTCTCCAAGTGCTGGGCTGCCTTGTTTGGGTGAGCATAGAACGCCAGACACCCCTCTAGGTGCTGGGCTGTCTCTTTTGGGCGAGCACATAGGATCAGGAACCTTTCCAAGTGCTAAACTGCCTCGTTTGGGGAGCACATAGGATCAGACATCTCTCCAGGTGCTGGGCTGCCTCGTTTGGGAGAGCACATATGATCAAACACCCCTCTAGGTGTTGGGTTGCCTAATTTGGACGAGCACATAAGATCAGACACCTTTCCAGGTGTTGGACTGCCTTGTTTGGGGCAGCATAGAGCGTCAGACACCTCTGCTTGGTCGCCTTGGGTGAGCCTGGTTGTGATGACAAAAACAATGTTATTCAAAATATTAAAATATCTCACATAATTACTTGTAGGAAGAGGTACGCTGCTTGCGCAAGATTACAAACAAAGTTGGAGAACTGCTCGTGAGAGAGCTACACCATTTGAGACCTAGCTTTTGGCGACCCATGAAAGGGTCTTCAATTGGAGATATAGGTTGTCTGTTTAAGAACAATGCAGAAGCCAAGCTTTTAGCGCCCCGTAAAAGAGTCGCTAAGCTGGATATTGATGCTGCCTGTGTTGAGAACAATGCAGAGGCAGGCCAAGCTTTTGGCGACCCGTAAGAGATTCGCTAAGCTGGATACTGAGGCTGCCTGTTCGAGAACAGTGCAGAGGTAGGTCAAGCTTTTGGAGATCTGCGAGATGATTCATCTCGCCTAGACTTGTTGATTTTTGCAACATTTATATATTTTTAAGCTTTTGCCAATAATTCTGACATGCTCTTTAGTGATCGCTTCATTATTGAAAAAAAGAATCTAGATGAGTGGAGGCTTCTCAGAAAAGTGGTCATTGTGACTTTGTCATTGGGCTCCTCGATTTGGAGGACCTTCTCGTTAAAACGAGTGAGGTAACTCCTTAGACTCTCGTCTCGATCCTGTTTTATGTTGAGCAGATAGGTGACAGGCTTTTGTTGGCGGCATCCACCAATGAACTGTGCCACAAATGATCTACTCAATTAAGTGAAGGAGCCTATGGAGACCGGGTTGAGTTTGGCGAACCATTATCGCGTTGATCCATTCAAGGTAATTGGGAATGTCCTACACATAATTTTGTCGAGACGTTGTGCAGTTACATTAAGGACTTGTAAGTTTCAAGATGATCAAGTGGATCCTTCGTTCCATCAAAGGTCTCCACAGATGACATTTTGAACTTTTGAGGAAATGGGTAGTTCACCACGTCAGGTTTGAAAGGCGTGTCTGTCTGCCTTACGAGCTAGTCCACTGTCTCGGGTCCCTGCGCCTTCATGGCGTTGAAGACGTCACCTAGTTGATTTTGCACTTCCTTAATTTTTTCGTCCCAGTGATTAGGGGCTCCTCTGTAATGTTCATGAAAATGACTCTCATGCTCCATGCTTTGGTTTTTGCCCCCATCTTCTTGGTGATGAGCGTCTTCACCATGGAAAGCAGGAGAAAGAGGTAGAGGTCCCTCATGAGGGGCTCCTCTGTGTGGGGCACCCAAGGGGACTCCAAAGGGGGTGCCCAGACCTGCATAGGTGCCCAAATGGGGAGCAGCAAGTTGTGGAGCTCCATGATGTCGAGGGCGTGGAGCTCTTCGATGTCCAGGCGTGGAGCTCCTTGATGTCTAGGACGTGCAACTCCTTGATGTCCAGGGAATGGAGCTCCTTGATGTCCATGACATAAAGCTCCTTGATGTCCAAGGCGTGGAACTCCTTGAGGTCCAAGGCGTGCAGCTCCTTGGGGTCCTCCACGCTGTGCACCTCCAAGTTGTGCTCATCCTTGTCCAGCATTTGTTGTAGATTTAGAGCTGGAGCATTTGGGATAGAGTTGGTAGGTAGAGGAGTAACCTCCTCCTCTCGTGGAGGATTGTCTTCATGGTTCATGGATCTAGTAGTGATCGTCATTAGTTCAGCAAATGGAATGTTTAGGAGTGAGAATTTTGTCGTTTTTCATAGACAGCGCCAAACTGATGAAGCACAAAATGGCTTTGCACACCACCTGTTAAGTGTAAATAATAAATGCAGTAAAAGTAAAGAGAGAATTGGAGGAGACAAGATTTATAGTAGTTCGGTCAATGTGACCTACGTCCACTCTTGAATGACTTTGATCGCCGGATGCTTTTATTAGCTCAAGGGTGTGGGGAGTAGAGAGTACAAGCTTTGAGGGAGAGAGAGAGTCGTGGTCAAGTAAAGTACGATGTCCCCCAAGTGTTGGTGGGATGTATAATTTATAGTGGTCCCCTAACAGATTGGAGCTACTTTACAGCATCTAAGCGACTACTCTGGTGGTGCTCACGACTTCTTCTCAACTGGTAAGGAGGTTGAGGAGTTATCCTTGAGATGCGGTCAAAGATGAGGTGAAGGTAGATTTTTTCCTCTGCGTTGTAGGTAGGGCTCTCATGCTCTCCCTCTTGACGACGTAGTCAAGCAGAGAGTTTGACGGGTCTTGGACTATATTGGGCTTGATGGATCTTTCATGAGATTGGGCTCCTCAATCGAGATTAAATTTCTCACATAAATTAGGTTATTTGAATTTGACCCATCAGATATGATCGAGCCTTCGGGTGTCTCGGTGTTACAGATGAATCCCAATCTTCTAGAATACAACAAACAGAGACTAATACATTGAACAAGTGGAGAAATATCACATGATCAAAGATTCCCCACTCCAGACCACTTCCAAAAATTCAATTATTCGTGTACTGAGAACAACATGATTCCTCTTCGACAGACAACCGGACAGACCCATCTATTTCAGAAAATCAAATTCCACTAACAAAAAAGTTTGTACCCAATAGTTCAAATATCTCCCAAAGCACAAAACACAGAGAGAGAGAGAGTCTAGGCTAGAACCTTCTCAGAAATTCTCCATTGCTTACACAGCTGAACAGACGCTGCATGGCTAAATATAAGAACAGAACTCTGAGAAATCGGTAAATAAAAGGGAAATTGAATTGTAACAAGCACCAAGCGACTACCAAAATGAATGCATTAACTTTCGATCTTCCAAACTTAAGAAAAAAAAATACACATTCAAACCTAACCCCCCCCCCCCTTCTCCCTCTCTCTCTAACATTAGAAACAACAAATCCCTAAAAAATGGGACCTTTCATCTATCAAACCCAAAAAATTTCAGTCGAACCCTGCAATAATACATTACAATGAACAATCACACCACCCCCATAGATACTCACACACACGCATATAGACATGAAAGCTTCCCATACACCGACAAACAATCAAAACGAACCAAATCAAAAAGTAGTTATGCACCCACCCACATACATACATATATGGAATCATGGATGGATGAAAATAACAACTGACTAAAGAGGCCGCTTATATTACCATGAAATGATCGAGATCTTTATGTTCAATATCCTGGATTCCATGTCCACCGAGCATGGAATATTTCGCCACCGAATGCTGCGACTGAGCCAGCTGCGCATCGATCATCGGCAACTGGTCCACCGGCGTGGCGATTCTCAGGCACTGCACATGCACCGATAACAACTGATCATACAGAGGATGATTCACAATCTCCGCTTTACACTTCACCGTACGCTCCCAATCACCACTACTCTCTTCGCCGTTATTTTCGGTACTCTCGCTATTCATCTTCTTCTCTTGGTTCATGGTCGAGACGTCGTCGTTTTGTTTGAAGAGCCACTGGTTCGAATTAGACGAGTCCGAGTTGATGGTCTGGAGGTGGAGGAAATTATTATCACCGGCGGCGAAGTGGTGGTTTTGTCGGCGTAGTAGCCATGTTGGCGGTGGCTTTCGGGAGGCGCCATCGGACGTTGACTCTGGTAAGATACCTCTTAAAACGCTGCCGTTTTCGGCTAGGTGCTGGCCTGTGCACCGTTGGTGGTGGAGTGCCATTCCTTCAGAGAGATGGTCTTGAAACGCCATGTACACTGCAATTTTAAAGCTCAAGCTTCATTCTACATAGAGAGGGATCGAGAGAGAGAGAGAGAGAGGGGAGGGGGTATTCCTATAGGATCATTGTATGGTAAACGTAGATAGAGACAACATTGCTACTAAACATTAAATGTTAACTGTTTGAAACAGTTAGTTATATGGCAGACTGTGTGTTGATATTTCCAGACCGAAGTTTAGTGATACCAGATCAAAGGTACAAGTCCCAAAGCAAAACGTACTACTTAGATGATCTGGTAATAGTAACTAAGGTAAATGCAAAGAGAGTGAAACAAAAAATAAGTTGGATTTGTGTGGCATTCCATAACTTCCGCCAAACATTCTATACATAAAATTTTAACATATCTTTCCGGATATAATTTTATTCATTTATTACAGTAATTGAATTGATAATCAAATTTCATTAAATTTTAAAATTTAGCTATGTAAATAAATTATACTAGATCCCAACACTATTACTTGGGAAAGTTCTACGAGGGTATCGGAGGGGTTAGATTGGGTGCCACGTGGAAAAATGAATTGTTTTCGATGTGTTTGGGGGTGAGAATAAGAAAAAAACTGATAATTGATTGAGGGTGGTGAGAGACTACGCCGACTTGTATTAGTATTGAATTAATTAATGGATTCGTCATCGTGTGATTGGTAAATAGCTGGTCGGCATGATATTATTTGCTGATCTCTTTGTCAAAGCACTCCATTAACTCGTGCCAACCATCGTCATAATTTTTTGGCAGGATAGTTTTATATTACAAAAAAAAAAAAAAACAATTTTTACACAATATGATAAAATATTTTTTATCATGAATATATTTATCTAATTTACTTATAATTTTACTAATTATAAAAACAATACAATTAAACAAACTCACTAATACAAATCATATTCAGAGTGTGAAATGTTTCAAATATAAGATTTCTTATTTATTTAAGGTTAATCTTATTTTGTACTCCGAAAGATTGTTCGAATCTCAATTTGCACCCCGAAAAATTGTTCGAATCTCAATTTGCACCCCAAAGATCAAAAATCTCAATTTACACACTCAAAAATAGAAATTTGTATCAATGTGCACCCCCAAAGATCAAAAATCTCAATTTGCACCCTTAAATATAGAAATCTGTATCAATGTGTACCCCAAAGATAAAAAATCTCAATTTGCACCCTCAAAGATAGAAATTTGTATCAATGTGCACCTAAAATTAAATTGATAAATTATACCTAAATCCCCTCATATTTGTCAGTTAATCATTTAGACCTCTTCACATTTAGAATATTACTCCTACATCTTATAACATTTGTGCACATATAACACGTAACCCATTTTCATTGATATTTATTAATATAACCGTTAAAAAATATAATTTTATCCTAATAAAAAATTATAATTTCATATTACCCTTTATTTTATAGATTCAATATACTATAAAGTTCAAAATCTAGTTTACCATTTGAATGTCTAATAAAATATAAATATTTATATAATATTTTTCATATTACCTTTTATATAAATATCTACATTTTATTAGACATTTAAATGGTAAGCTTGATTTTCAACTTTAGAGTATATCGAATCCACAAAATAAAAGGTAATATAAAATTATAATTTTATATTAGGATAAAATCATATTTTTTAACGATTATATTAATATATATCAACGAAAAGTGGTTATGTGTTACACATGCATAAACGTCATGAGATGTAAGGGGAATATTCTAAATGTGAAGGAGTTCAAATGATTAAGTGACAAACATGAGGGGATCAAAGTATAATTTATTAATTTAATTTTAGGTGCACATTGATACAAATTTCTATCTTTGAAGGTGCAAATTGAGATTTTTTATCTTTGAGGATGCACATTGATACAAATTTCTATCTTTGAGTGTGCAAATTGAGATTTTTGATCTTTGGGAGTGCACATTGATTCAAATTTCTATATTTGAGGGTGTAAATTGAGATTTTTGATCTTTGAGGGTATAAATTGAGATTCAAACAATCTTTCGGAGTGCAAAATGAGATTAACCCTTTATTTAAAGATAGACTTGGTCATTAAATCAATCCTAAAATTTACTTGACTTCAAAATCAATGTTCCTTTTACTTAGGACATCTAAACCCTTTGAAAGCTCATTTTTTTTAAATAAATTTAAAAAATTATTTAAGCTAACGTTTAAAAAATGAGTTGTACGCTAACTATGTACAAAATTAAGTGAATATGAGCTGAATCTGAGTAACAGGGCCGGTTTAACAGTACGGAAAAAAAAAGTATGGATTTTAAGCCTCAAATTTTTAAAATGCCTTATAATTTTAGGTACATCATTTGCCCACCAAAAAAATTAAATTCATTAAATTTTAAGTCCTACTAAAAGGCCCAAAAAATTAAATCGAATCAAAATTTTTATTAGAATAATTTGATCATATAATCTAATTCCTAACATTTAAAACTTAGAAATTAAAAAAATTGAAAAATACTCAAAACTCAACTCGTATTTACTCCCACCCCATTTTTTTTTCTCTCTCTCTCAAGTAAAAAAAAATAAAAAATAAAAACAAAAGTTAAAATTAAACGCTATCTCTCCCTCTGTGTGACAAAAAACAAAAATAAAAATTGAAATCTCTTTTTCAACAATATGAACATATTTTTCTTTTGTTTTTCCCTCACATAAAAAATTATAAATAAAATAATTTTTTTAAAAAAATAATACTAAAAATAAAAAATATTTTTATTTAATGTTTCTGTTTAAGTCTTAAATTGGCATGAGCCACCCCCTACCAAGTAATTTGATTATTTTACATATAAAAGAGTCAAGTTTTTAAACTCGGTTTTAAAAGAGTCTACAAAATTATTCGAACTCAATTCATTGAGTCTTATTTGAGTCGAATTCGAGTAGTTCAACTCAATTATTAACCCTAATTACACTTTAATAAACTATTATTCATGAAACTTTGTTAGAAATATTGGAAAGATTTACGAAGTCAAAAAAAAATTATTGGATTCAAATTCAGATATTTTTTGATAATTTTTTAAATTTTTTTCCTGACAAATAATTTATTTGTGTACAATAAATCCTACTTAAATACGCATTCTTAATTGAAAAATATATGAAATGGGATCTCACCCTCACAAATGTGTTGGACACCTCGCGCGAACCATTGGATCATAACCTCTTCTGTTCACCACCAGTCACGGAAGAAAGTTGGCTCTTCAAAAATCCGTACTATTGAACACGCGTCAAAATATCGTTTCATGGGACCACCAGTAAGCACGCGCGTCTGACCCTTTGGTCTCTGGGCCTGGGATATCTATCTTCTTGTCCTGTAAAACCCAGCATCGACCACTTTTCAGCTGTGACTGTCACCGAGTTGCCGACGGGTAAAAAGTCCACAGGGGAATGAATTTCACGCGCAAATGTCCCTGGTCCCCCACTGCTCATAGCTGCCAGCACACTGTCGTGACCGTTTGAGTGGCCCCACCAACCTACGCTTCCCATCCCCAGCCTTCTCTCAGGCGGCAGTATAGATTTGGTATTTAACCTCCTGGACTTTTTTTAATAATATTTTATTTGTATAATTCAGTATAATTATGAACAATATTTTTTGCACTAAATTTATTAACTCAATGAATTCATCATTAAATTGACAATAAATTTCGATATTAATTAAAATTTATTATCAATTCAATAAATATATTAAGTTAATAAATTAAATTCATATAATATTTTCTTATAATTATTGGTTGAAAATTAAATCTCACTTAATATTAGATTCATAGTTATTGTTCGTACTTAAAGGCACAAAATAATAAAAAAATTATCAATTGTAAACATACTAGAAATTATCAGTGCCTGAATACACTATATATCACCAAAAATATTTTTAATTATGTTGCATTAAAAATAAAAATTTTAAACAATTTTGAGCGTAGAAAGTTAACAATTCAATAAAAGGCCCTTGCTGTTTCATTTGATTCTACTTCTATTATGATGTCTTCTTCTTCGTTCTTTACCTATCCAAAGTTTTGGTCTTTTGTCTGGAATATGATGGCAATATCAAATGTCAAGCACTTTTGGTGGAAAGTTTGTAGTAATGCTTTGGTCACACCTGAAAATTTATATAAGAGTAAATGTGCTGACTTTCCTTGGTGCCAAATCTGTGATGTGATGGTTGAATCCGTTGAACATTCTTTTTAAATGTGGTTGGGTTAAGAAGGTTTGATTTGGGGTTCAACTTGGGTTTGAGATTGGAGTTGGATTCTTATGTTTCGGTGTTACAGTGGGCATCGTCTTTTGTGGATGCTATTAAGAATTTCAGCTGCTCTCTTGAGATTATGGGGAAAGTAGCTACAACTGCTTGGGCCATCTGGATTGTTAGAAACAATTTCATCTTTAATCATCATAACCCAATGCTCTTACTACTCTGTTGCGGGCTTAGAAACTGTGGAGTGATGTGATGATGGTTGGTATAAGTAGGCGTGAGGTGCAACTGGTGGTTCCTAATGTTGGCAGGCGTGAGGTGCAGCTGGCGATTTTTGACTTTGATAGGAGTGTGATGCAGCAACCTGGTTCTGATATGCAATATCCTGTTTCTGTTGTGCAGCAACCCGTTTCTGATGTTGGCAGATGTGAGGTGCCGCAAGATCTTGCTTCTGACTTCAGACCTCTTCATCAAGATCATGCTTCTGGCTCCTCATCTCTTTTGTGTTGTGATGGAGTGTTTAAGAAAGGTGATGCAGTTGTTGGGGTGATTCTAAAAGATTCCAATGGGTTTATGGTGGATGGAATTGCTAAAAGGATTTTGTGTTGTGATGGAGTGTTTAAGAAAGGTGATGCAGTTGTTGGGGTGATTCTAAAAGATTCCAATGGGTTTATGGTGGATGGAATTGCTAAAAGGATTCCGGCCGTATCCAATTTTTATTCCGAAGCAGCTGTGGTAAAAGAAGCTTGTCTCTTAGTTTCTGCTTTCTGGGCTTCGTGATGCTACTGTTTCTAATGACAACCTGGAGTTAATCAAGCTGTGTGTTTCGGAAGATGCTCCTCCATGGGAGATCAATGCTTTTGTTAGTGACATTCGCAATGTTGCTAAAGCGTTTAATTTAAGCTTTATTCACTAGCCGAGGTCTCTTAACAGAGCAGTTCATTGGATTACAACCATGAAATTATCTAACTCAATTCCTTTGAGTTGGGTGTGCTGCCCTCCCCCCGAACTTAAGATTTTTTTGTCTACTGATTGTAATTAACATTTTCCAACATGATAAAATGTGCAAATCTGATTATCTTCAAAAAAAAATAAAAAATAAAAGGCCACCCTCACAGTGCGAGCAAGTAGAACCATGCCATTTGACAATCTAAAAAATAGAATTAATCAAATAAACCAACTAAAAAAAAATCAAAATGCATAAATTTTTTATGTATCATACATATTTTCACCCAAAATCAATCACAAACATATTTATATTCCATTGAACATATGCATACTCAAAGCCAACCACAAATTATAACAATTAATCAAAAAAATTAATTCAAAAAAATCAAAATACATAATAAATTATCGAGAATGATGCATACTTTCTACTCACCACAACCCCATGAGTCACAGCCCAGGTGTGCATTAGATTAAGATACGCGTAACTTTCTATTCGAAGTGTTGGAAGGAAAGTAGAAAATTTGAATGCACTGATTGGATCATGAAGCTACATACATCGTATAGTGTAAATCCACAAAATTGAGTTGGCATATTTAATGGGTTAGATGGAATAGAATAGCCTAAACCACAAACAGCACAGAACATGCATTGACCACATATGCATTAATAGGAATATTATTAGATCTAATTTTTAAGTCTAAATAACATCTATATAATAAAGTAGCTTATAATTCAAATCTCAAAAGATAAACAAAATGACTTTTACTATTTACGGTTGAGATTCTTTTAAATTTTATTTTAAAATTAATCTAACGGTTAATATTAACACTCTAAATTTAATATGAAAATAAGTCTCTAAGGGTGTGTTTGTAGTAACGTTTTAAAAGTATTTCTACAAATTATTTCTCATACATACTTTAAAAAAAAAATAGTGTTTAAAATCACCCCACCACTACCTCTACCACCACCACTGCCGCCGTCGCCACCACCATCATCGTCATCGTTGTCGTCGTTACCACTGTCACCATCACCACCGCTGCTGCCCTTCTGCCATCGTCATCGCCGCCACCACCACCACGGTCACTGCCATCCACCACAACCCTCATCGTCTCCCACCATTAATATTGTCGGCCACCATCTCTCACTCCCACAGTAAAATCGATGCTTAAATTCATTTATCTTTTATCTATATTTGTGATTTGATTTTGGATATAAATATAAATATTTTTATTATTAATTATTTTTTATTACTCTGTGCCTTCAGACACATGCAATAACTAGTTATTCAATGATATATTATGTATTTAAGTGAAATTTATTGCATTTAAGTCAGTCTCCCACTAATATTATAGGGTGATCTAGTACGAATGGAATCGAAAAATACTGTGTAACCCAAATTTATATCTCAAATGAAGAGGAACCATTGAATGTACCAACCCAATAGTTTCGGAGGCCCAGGCCAACGCTAAAATTATTCATGGATTATATTTTGTCAATTGTCCTTTTAACAATGGGATGTTTACCATATTTGTTCATCGCCTTGAAATTTTACTTTAACCGTAGCATACAAAAAGTGATGCAATTTTTGGGTACAAAAGTGGTGTGTTTTGGTATTAAACCCTTTTCCCTTTGTTATTTACGCGGAGAGCCATTCACCAAACTGACCAGTTGAGGCACTAGATCATTAAATTGAAGGGGACAAAATCGTAATTCAAACCTATGCTCACCCCCTTCCCTATATACAGCGTAGCCATCATGTATCAGTATCCACAAACTCTCTGTTTTCAAGCGGAAGAGGAGCACCTGCAACAGCCATCATGGTGGAGGGTCCCGTTCGTGAGTGGAGTCTACAAGTCTTCCCTAGCTTGCTGATTTGTTCTTTTTCTATCTCCTAGACTCCCATCGTAACATTATGCACAAACACACACACACAAAGATATGTATATCATAATCTTTGACGGAAAAAGATATGGAAAAGAGAGCGTATGGTTTAATTTAACACAACTATTTTACAATATTTAAGATGGTACTATAGCAAGTCATCTTGGCATTCCACACTGGACCGGCCCAACCTCATTGTAGAAAAAGTTTGGGCTTTAGGTGCCATAATTTGAGAAGCCCCCACAATTTAAGTTATATAATTAACCCACATTAAAATTTTAAGTCCTATAAAAAAGTCTCAAAAAATTTAGGTTCAATAAAAATTTTTAGTGAAAATTGAAAGTGAGTCCTCCTAAATATACTTGTTTGAAAATAAGTCCTACAATGAAACTTATAAGGAGTTAAGTTCCTGTTTAAAATTATATGTAATGACTTAAGTCTATATTTTTTTTATCTCAAAAATACCCTTCCTTGAAAGAAAGTTAATTTTTTCTCTCTCATATCTATTTATATCCATATATAAGTTAAAAGTTTGTCTAACATTAAAATTTTTTATCTCACTTATCTATCTATATCCATATATAGGTTAGGTGTATATATATAGTAACATTTAAAAAAATAGTAACATTCAAATACAAAAAAAAAAGTTACTAAGAATTTGAATAGTAAAATTCAAATTCATGTTACTATTTTTTTTTATGTTACTGTTCATGTTACTGCTTTTGTTGAGTATGTTACCATTCATATACTATTATTTTTGAGCATGTTACTATTTTTGTTGACCATGTTACTACTATTATTTTCCTAAATATTAATATTCAATATTTTTTTTTAATATTACTATTTGTTGTATTTGAATTGTACTATTTTTTGCGTTGAAATTTGAGAAAAATAATTATTGTTAAATATGTTATAATTTTTGTTAAGTATGTTACTATTTTTGTTGAACATGTTACTGTTGTTATTTTTTAAAAATATTAATATTGAATGTTTCAATTTTTTTATGTTTAAATGTTACTATTTTTTTGTGTTTAAATGTATTATTTTTTGTATCTAAATAATAACTTTTTTTTGTATTTGAGTGTTACTATTTTTTATTTTTAATGTTACTATATATATACATATATATAACCTATATATAGATAGATAAGAGAGAGGGAAAATTTTAATATTATTCAAAATCTTAACCTATATATGAATAAAAATAGATGTGAAAAAAAAAATATTTTAATGTTAGTCAAACTCCTAAAATTTATGAGTTTTTAATTTTTAGTTTTATTTCACTTCTAAAAGAAAAGGATAATATGGTAAAATTGATAAAAAAACAAACTTCATAACAAATAAGTTTATTTGACGGACTTAAGTTCAAACAAGTCCATATAGGGGGGCCGACCTCCAAATTTCTCAAATTTTTAATTTCAATAATTTGGGCTCATAATTCAACCTACAATATTATAAAATCAAAAATCAAAAGTTAAAAAAAAAAAACTAAATGTATAAAAAATTTACTCTAAAGTCAAGTTATATTTACTTCACATTTACTCTATTCTGGTAAAAAAATAAAGTAAAAGTTAAAACATCTCTATTGATAACATTGATTCTTCCTCTATCACACACACATATAATAAATAAAAAATAAATTAATTTTTAATAAAAATTTAATATTAAAAATAATATTTCATTCGATATTTTCGCTTTAGGCCTCAAAATGCTTTGTGCCGCCCTGTTCCACATCCTTGGACAAAAATAAGATTCTTTGTAGTTCAGTATCATCACTCAAAAAATAATTATCCTGCTTCTTTCCACCCGCAAATATGCACAAATTCACAACAATGAGGGTGAATGGATGATAGCAAATTTAAACATATCAATTATGTTTCTGATGCATTGTAACCTATAAACATCTAAACATAAATAAATGACATAAAAAATGAAAAGAAGAAAAGATGCAGGTAGATGTATAGATGGAGTATGAGTTATCTTGAAGACTTGGAACTGTATAACTCTTTCTTTTTGAAGTACACATTTTACAGCAAAATTGTCTTCAAGGAGAACAGTAGCAAATGAATGTAGTGTGGATAAAACATGGAGCTTGAATGAATGAATAATGGTACTAAGGGAGAGTAGGAGGAAGGGTTGGTTTTGCTACTTTGAGCTCTCCACAACCACTGATATAGACAGTCTTAAGGGGCTTGTTCCAGATTGCGCGGGCATTTTTAGCTCTTCCATCTCCAAGAAACTCTGCCAAATCATTGTACTGGCGGATTCTTTCAGATGGTTTGTAAGTGGGGATGGAAGCTATGCTCGTCACAACATCCAACCCTGCAACCCAATACAACTGAAATCAGAAAAGTATGCAAACATTTTCAGATAGCAAGGGAAAACAGAAGATAATTTTATAAGTAGCTCAGTCACAAAGTTGATATAAATGCAGAGTTTCGAAGAAACAGGAGATCTTTTTACATGCTGCCCTATGCAAGTAGATACTTAAGAAGAAAACAGCAGTCTCTACAAAATGTTCTGTAAGATGAAGTGTGATGTGTGGGCATGAAGTTCAGTTTCAAAAGAATTATGAGCATGAATAATCTTGGACCTCAAACGATGACAAATGAGAGTTTGAGTCTGAGAATTAGTCTATCAAAAAATGAAGGTGAGACTATCCGTACCACTTACCTCTCCTAGACCCTGTTATATGAGTGCCTTGTGCACTGTTAATGGTTTTTTTATCTTGAAAATTGTTATGACAATCAGCAGAGAAAAGAAGAGGCCAAGGAGGGAGGAGGGAAATTCAATTTACACCAGTATAGCAATGTATTCCAACAGAGTTGCTAATGATGCCAGAATCAGTTGAAATACTGCAGCCATTTCAAGCATAATGTATACATGTTGCTCCATCACTAAAGTGAAGCATAGTTGGGTGAATTTTTGTCAAAAATTAGCGTTGAACACCTATAAAGAACTCCCACAAACTATGGATTCAATGGGCTGAATTTTTAAAAGGAGAAGAACACATAATAAAGCTAAAATAGCATTACAAATAGTTTCAGCAGTAAACTTCAGGAAGTAGATTCCTATCTTAAGTACCGAGTTCACATACACAAGCACTCACAAAAAACAGAGTTTGGACTATGTTAACAGAGGCACAAGGAAAGAGTCTTAAGAGGTGAAGCAGGAACCTGTAAGAAATTAAAAGTACATCTGCAGGCCTTGAACTACAAACCTATACTTGAGAAAACAATCAGTCCAATTGCATCTCCCCCACCCCCAAAAAAAAACCCATCCCCACCTGGCCCTGTTCTTTATTTGAAACCTATTGAACTATTGAATCAAAGTTACTACAAACCAAAGTACCCCGGTGTATACACTTCCGGCTTATATCGAGGCCTAAGATAGATAAATGGTAGACATCATTACTCCTTGTTAGAAAAATCTGATTATTAAACTCGAACTCTTGGCGCATTGTTTGGACAGATGAAAACTTGTTACCGTTCCAGATCCGACCTCAGCCACAAACCATAAAATAAGATTTATTTATCGATCACATTCATTTTAAGCAGTATAAATTCTGTTTACAGGTATGCCCCAAATGATATGAATTGGCTACTCTAGATTTACCATCAATTAACTTCTTCCCATGCCAAAAAAAACTTACACATCAAAATTGATCAAGAATTCAGCAATTATTACCTAACATAGCTTCTGGTATATAAATCTGCCAAAAATACTTGAGTAGAATGGGTATGCCTATGCAGTTAAAATTACAGCTTTAGAAGTATAGAACTCACCTTCAAGCACAGCCCCAAAGACAATGTTCTTACTATCAAGCTGTGGGCAAGGTCCAGGCCCAGTGGTGACCAAAAACTCCACATTGTGATAATCTGGGTCTAGCTTAATCTCATCATCATCATCATTCTCCGATAAACACAAAGAAACAATGCCTGGCCTCGAATGCTCCAACACAAACGCCTTAGAATCAACTGTCTCAGTGTTCCTAACCATTTGCAATGGCGGTTTAACCTCCCCTTTATCTCTCCGACCTTGTTTTCCGGCCATGAAGAACTGTCCGGGGAATATTTTCTGGACCAAAGTCCCTTTGTAGGACGACCAGATGAGCCAGTACACATCGATTTGAAATTAGAGACGGTGGTATGGGGACGAGATTGCCGTAGAGGCCGAGAACGAGGC